ATTCCTGTTTTTGTGTCTTTTTGTAACTTAAGGTTTTGCCTAGAGGGATTCTCTATGTGTTGAATCTGACTACTCTGTAAGGTATTTACCATCCTGATTTTACAGAGGTGATTCTTTTACTTTTTTCTTTAATTAAAATTCTCTTTTAAGAATCTGATTGCTTTTCATTGTTCTTAAGATCCAAGGGTTTGGGTCTGTGTTCACCTATGCAAATTGGTGAGGATTTTTATCAAGCCTTCCCCAGAAAAGGGGGTGTAGTACTTGGGGGGATATTTTGGGGGGGCGGGGGGGAGGATTTCCAAGTGGGCACTTCCCCTGTTATTTTTGTTAGACACTTTGGTGGTGGCAGCATAAAGGTTCAAGGACAAAAGATAAAAGTTTTAACCTAAGCTGGTAAGAATAAGCTTAGGGGGTCTTTCATGCAGGTCCCCACATATGTACCCTAGAGTTCAGAGTGGGGAAGGAACCTTGACATGTGTATTCAAAATGAATAATAGCTTTTGAGGATTACCCCTGACTGTTACTAAATGCTCCCTTGTGCTCCCCCCCCACCCTTTAGAATTGGGAGAGTTACTATTATTGGAAGTGAAAATAAAGAATAAATTACATAATTGCTTTAAGATGAAAGCACTATTGTCAGAAAACAATACTTTGCTAATGCAGTCCGCTAATTTCAAACCTCCAAAATGTTATTTCAAACCCAAATTCTTCAGACAAGCCAAAACAAAAAAACCATTCCCCACACTTATATGCAAAGTTGGAAATTTTTAAGGAAACCTGCTTTTGAGTTATCCAAACCCAAATTTCTTGACTGCTGAAAAATACTCTTTCCCACTGTGATAATTCAAAAATGGACATAAGAATTTATAGGAAACTTTCCACATGTGCACGTTGCTGCTTGGCTGCATCTCAACATGATAAATTTCAGCCCCCAAAATAAATTTATGAAAAGAAAATACTAACTTGGATTGCAAATTCCATCTCCGCCTAAACTCTTTAAATTGTTGCTACAGCACTGGTACAGCATATATTGGTAGCATTCATCCTTCAGTAGTTTGAGGGCAACATTGCCATCAAATTGAGTCCGAGAAAACCACAAAAGACATTAATACGCTTAAAATATAAAATGGAGCAAGTTTATTATGAAGTAATACTTAAATACAGCTAAATAATGGTGTTATCTTCACCTAAATTATGACTTTCAGAGCTCCGTTTTTAGGACAATTTGAGATACTTGAAAGGGAAGGGGCCTGGTTTTCAGAGGATGGATTCTCAGCACATTCTGAACATCAGGCCCATTTTAAATAGCTCAGATGGGGCACCCAAATGTGCTAGTTGCTTTTGAAATTTTAGGCCCATCTATCATAGAGCTTTTGTGGTATTGTTTAGGGCTCAACATGGGCTCTGACATTCAAAGTTTAGTCTGTGTGTTGAATTGGCTCATCATCATAAATATAACCATTAGAAACTGTGGTTCTACTGAGAGCCTCAAGTGTCTATATACTTGTATATTTTCATTTGAAATAGCACTTGCCCCAGAGAAAATGGCCATGTCACCAGTTTGTCTAGGTATTCGTGTCATGCTCTACAAACCTAAGAAGACCTAAGATTGTAGTGCTTGAAGGAACTGCTTGCAGTTCCAGAGCTGCACGCACTGATACATGATACTTAGAAGTACAGGGCTTGAATTAACTCTGTGGGTGAGAGAATACGTAGCTTCTGTAGCAGGTTGAATATGTTGTTGCAGAGCTGAACCTTGTCAGGTCACATCCTACATTGCAAATTGGAAGTCTTGGGTTTCTGTATTCATGTCAGCTGGAAAAGGTCTATCCAGCTGAGAGAGTTAAGGTCACAGCACAAGATGATATCACTTTAGGGTAAATAAGATTGCTGTCTGCCACATCAGACATCAAAAGTTAAGTAAGGTTAGGTTAGATCAACACTTAGAAGGGGTTATGGACTTTTTCCTGAGGAAGTGATGTTGGAGAGTCAGTGGGTGGTGCTCTTGCATCTGAATCAGTGCCGTACTAGTCTACCAGCAAAGTATACAGAGAATGCTTGGCTGCTGTATATATATCCCATGGATGAGACATAAAACTGCTATCTGTCTGCTGATAATCATTACAGGTTCTGTATAGGCGGGGCATTTAATCCCATTGTGTTGGTCACATTCCAACTTGGATACGTAACTTTTGCTTATTAACATTCCTCCTACAGTTTCAATTTAATTGTCCTCACTTCTTTTCCTCCACTTTATGTGCTGTTGAATGATGCCACGTTCCTTCCCCAAAATTGCTGCTTTTCAATAGTAGGTGAAGTGTCTGTGTCCTAACTCACAAAAGGATATGAATTTAATTAATGTTCATAAAGCACTTTATGATCTTCTGGATAAAGGTAGTCTATAAGTGCAAAATATTAACAACTACTTATTGGGGAGAATTCATTGATTGCAAGCAAAACTGGAGTGGGCACCTGATTACTGCACCAATGCCTTCACTACTCCAATACAACAGAGACATCTTGATCAGGCCTTGCAGCAAATTATCTGGTAATGAGGGGACGCTTTCTTAGCTAAGAATTTATTGAGGAAAGAAATTGCATGAATTCATCTTATCTCTTATAGCAGGGGTGGGCGAACTTTTTGGCCTCAGGGCCACATTGCAGTATGGAAATTGTATGGCGGGCCATGAATGCTCATGAAATTGGGAGTAGGGGTGCGGGATGGGGTGAGGGCTCCAGCTGGGGGTGCGGGCTCTGGGGTGGTGCCAGAAATGAGGCATTAAGGATGCAGGAGGGGACTGCGAGCTGGGGCAGAGGGTTGGAGTGCGGGGAGTGGTGAGGGCTCTGGCTGGGGGTTTGGGGTACAGGAGGGGGCTCCAGGCTGGGACTGAGGGGTTTGGAGGGCAGGAGGGGGATCAGGGCTGGGGCACAGTAGGGTGAGGGCTCTGGCTGGGGGTGTGGGCTCTGGTTGGGCTGGGGCCGGGGAGTTTGAGGTACAAGAGGGGGCTCTGGGCTGGGATTAAGGGGTTTGACGGGTGGGAGGGGGATCAGGGCTGTGGCAGGGGATTGGGGAATGGGGGAGGGGGCTCAGGGGTGCAGGCTCTGGGCAGCGCTTACCGCAAGCAGCTCTCAGAAGCATGTCCTTCCTCCGACTCCTATGCAGAGGCACGGCCAGGCAGCTCTGCACGCTGCCCTGTCCACGGGTGCTGCCCCTGCAGCTCCCATTGGCAGGGAACTGTGGCCAATGGGAGCTGTGGGGGTGGTGCCTGTGGAAGGGGCAGGGCGCAGAGCTGCCTGGCCATGCCTCTGCATAGTGCAAAGGAGCCGGAGGGGGGTCATGCTGGCTGATTTCTGGGAGCCATGGAGAGCCGGGCAAGCCCCCGACCCTGCACCCTGGTGGGAACTGAGGGCCAGATCAAAAGGTCTGATGGACCGGATGTGGCCCGTGGGCTGTAGTTTGCCCACCCCTGTCTTACAGTATATCTAAAGTGTGCTAATAATTGAGGGATGGTACTCTACTCAATTTTAAGACTACTGCTTCCTGATTTAAACAATCTACTATTATTATTTAAAGTGTGTGGGTGCAAATTGGACAGTTCACAGAGTGTACCTACTTTTAAACAGATTGTTTAGAAGTGATAGGAATACTAAGTATGCACACTCCACATAGGTCTAATTTGCCCCATTCCAGGGATTTCCTTTATCGTTAACTTAAACAAAAAACAAACAATAAACTTTAGCACAACTTCTGAACTCAACTGTTTTTCGATGTTTTTTTCCTGCAGGACTCCTCTGTCTGTGCCCCTGGCTCCTTCTTCAGAGGGAAACTCGACCCCTTTTTTACTCCAGGTTTTGAGCTAATAAAAGTCACCTAATTTGACATTAGAATGATTGAAAAGAGCTCTGCCTCCCTGCGCAAGGTTTAATAATCGGTTACACTGTTCTATAACTAGCCCTCCACTAATTAACCAAGAAGCTCCAATGTTCCAGATGATTTACCATAAGAGCCCATTTTGAAATCTGTGTCCATAGTTCAGTGTAGAAAATGTTGCTAACTCCTGTGCCTTTTATGGTGGTTATATTTACATCAATTTTGCATGATAGTGTGATTATAATGCAAGTCATGTGACAGTATGTATCTAAATAAAATGTGTATATATAAATAGAATTAAAACATGCTATTGCATCATAATGCCACTGCAGCAGAGTGTGTGATGATGACATAACTGAGGTTAATTTTCTGCTCTACTAAACAAAAATTGACAGTGTAGTCTGCGATTGTGTTAGCTGTCCTAAATGTTCTTCACACAGCAGCAAGGAAGATATTTGGGTGATCTAGCCAACTGGAAAGAATCTATGTACAAAGGTATGGTGGGCTGCAGGGATATGCTTATCTGCCAGCAGCAGTGCTTTCTTCTCCTAGCTGTCATAATGTGTATTGCTAAGGTTTCTGTTTCACATGTTCAGTGACCGATTCAAGTTGGTATTTTAACTCCTTTTGTACATTGTCAAAGAGAATAGCACTCTTAGAAGCCATAAAAGGGCATAGGAAATAATAAATGAAAAATACACAAACAAAACTACATGAGAGTAAAGAGCATAGCAGCAGCAATTGAAAATACTTCCTATTGTGTTGTTTAAATTAAGAACAAGGTATTGTCACTTTTTTCTAACTTTATATTTTCTGTACCCAGCTGCATCAGCAACAAGGAGAAGAAATGCATTATGTGAGCTGTATAAATAGTTTTTAATTATATTCCAGGAGACTCCTCCTATGTTGTAGTTGTTAATAGTAGTATTACCATAGAGAGTAGGACCATATCATACCAAACAATTTATTGTAAAATGCATTTCCACTATCAGGTATAAGCCAAATTGCAAGCTAGAGAGCTGCCTGTCTCTATAAACCAGTATCTTTGTGATCAATCAATTCTGCTTCTATGTCACAGTTTTGTTACAACACTGTATAACCTATATGATCTTTATTATTTTACTTCCAGGTAAAAATGAAGATGAACAGACCGTTGCAGAAATCATGAGAAGGCGTTTTTCTCCTGCTGTTCTAACTAACATATCCTGGGAAGGTTTTCACTTTGCTGACCATGAGATAAAAATTACAGAAGCCACTGAATGTTATGGGGCAGTAGTCTGGCCATCGGTACAATATTTATGCAATATTCTTGGTTTTTATTCCCCTAAAAACTCTAGCCCTTTACGTTGTTTTCCATATATGTTGCTTAGTCCTGTAAAACCAAGGGAAATGTTCTGCATTTTCTCTGCCTCTTCTTTGCAACCCACAAATCTTTTATGTTAGCAGTGTGCAAGTGGGAACTGGCCACACATCCACAGAATTAATCATGAACTTGCTGATGCACAGGGCTCCCTTGTCCCTCAGTTGAAGGACTAAATAAAGGGAAATATATATCATTTTTCAGTTTTTGTGCTTTCAGCAACTTTTGGGTCAATGCCCCTCATTTCATTCTGAACCTGTTACAAATGAAACAAGGGAAAGAACTATTTTGTTCTATTCTGGACCACTAAAAAGTGGCCTTCCTAAAAGTCATTATTCTTGCAAGGAGACCAGAAGAGCTGGTAACCATTATATCTGTTTTTCGTGGGGACCTGGGAATTTTCTACCCAAAGTTGTCATCTGACTTTTACCTGAACTTGGAAATAGTTTTTAACTTCTGCCCAAACCTGTCTTCAGATGAGGAATGGAAGTAGTGCTTTCTGCTTCAGTAGTGAGTTGAAATATCATGTAGAATACACCAGATCTATGAGAAAAGGAGTACTTGTGGCACCTTAGAGACTAACCAATTTATTTGAGCATAAGCTTTCATAGAATCATAGAATATAAGGGTTGGAAGGGACCCCAGAAGGTCATCTAGTCCAACCCCCTGCTCGAAGCAGGACCAATTCCCAGTTAAATCATCCCAGCCAGGGCTTTGTCAAGCCTGACCTTAAAAACCTCTAAGGAAGGAGATTCTACCACCTCCCTAGGTAACGCATTCCAGTGTTTCACCACCCTCTTAGTGAAAAAGTTTTTCCTAATATCCAATCTAAACCTCCCCCACTGCATCTTGAGACCATTACTCCTCGTTCTGTCATCTGATACCATTGAGAACAGTCTAGAGCCATCCTCTTTGGAACCCTTTTCAGGTAGTACCTTTCAGGTAGTATTCCGATGAAGCTGTAGCTCACGAAAGCTTATGCTCAAATAAATTGGTTAGTCTCTAAGGTGCCACAAGTCCTCCTTTTCTTTTTGCAAATATAGACTAACATGGCTGCTACTCTGAAACAGATCTATGAGGTTTACTGACAGCCATTTTGTGCGTATAAGTTAGGGGAGTAAGGAGGGATATAGAAAGTTAAGAGGCTACTTGATCAGTCTGTAAGTGCTTACATGGAGAGAAGACCATGAAGAGTTCTTTAACCTAGCAGACAAAGCCATAACAAGAGCTAGTATCTGGAAGCTGAAGCTAGACAATTTGAAAGTAGAAGCGAGGAGACAGATTTTTAACAGTTATTAATGATTAAAGCTGTTCACCGAGGGATGTGGTGGATTCTCTGTCACTTGAAGTCTTTAAATCAAAATGAGATGCCTTTCAAAAATGTATGCTTTAAGTCAGCTAGAAGTTATTGGATTTCAGTCAGGAATTACTGGTGACATTCTATGGTTTGTGTTCTGCCGGAAGCCACACTAGATGACCACAGGCGTTCCTCTGGCCTTCAAATCTGTGACTCTATATCCAGGGTTATTTTGGCATATTTCTGCAGCTTATATAGCTCAAAGACGATTGCGAGCCTTGGTCCCTTCAGGAGGGGGATTGTCTTTAGGGATATGTCTTGTACAGTGCCAAAGCATGTTGTAGGCTCTTAAATAATAATTAGTAATGGCTTCCTCCAACCTGCTTGGAGAGAGGGAAGCTTCTTTGGAATAGAATCATAGAATATCAGGGTTGGAAAGGACCTCAGGAGGTCATCTAGTCCAACCCCCTGCGCAAAGCAGGACCAATCCCCAATTAAATCATCCCAGCCAGGGCTTTGTCAAGCCTGACCTTAAAAACTTCTAAGGAAGGAGATTCTACCACCTCCCTAGGTAACGCATTCCAGTGTTTCACCACCCTCCTAGTGAAAAAGTTTTTCCTAATATCCAACCTAAATACATATAAATCAGAATACATATAAATCAGTTTTGTGTTAATCTATGCATGTTCAAGGCACTCTACAAATGTGATCTCTTTCTCTCCCCCCGCCCCCAACTCCCATAGACTAGGAATCAACATAGTAAACAGCAACTAATGTAGATCTTGAGAGAAACTTTTCAGTAAGGATATAAATAAGAACAACTGAAATGTTGTCTTTTGAAAATTCCCAGTGACACACATGGGAATCATACCCCAAAACTGTTATGTTAAAGGATATTCATGGTCCAACAGATAACTCACAGAAACATGGAGATTCAGAATCACTGATTCCCCTCCCTCTGCTGGGGGTGAAGTATATCTCAGTCTGCCAGCAATCATTCCTGGTCCTGACGAAACATCTGTTCATTCTATGCTCCCATTGTTCTCAGTTTCTATCAGAAAGTGATGGCCTTGCGTTTGAGGCACAGGCATAGGAGTCAGGAGACATGGGTTGTGTTCCCAGCCCTACCACAAGCTTGTGCTGTGAGCTTGGGCAAGTCACTTCAGCAATCTGTGCTTCAGGCTCATCATGCCCCCTCAAAACGGGGATGACAGTACTTCTTTATCTCACACAGATAGGTGGGGAGATGTTGGACAAAAATGTATGATGTTTGTGAAGTGTTTTGAGAATCTGGAATGGAAGAAGCTATTTAAGTGCAAGGTGGTATTATTCAGATGGGCTGTGATTGGAAAAATAGTGCTGTTCCACAAATTAGGCAGCAGAAGGCTCTGTTGGAGGCAAAAGATATAATCTCTGCATCAGGTAATGGATAAAGGGTGATCTTTTATTGCAAGAGAGAGCTGAGATAAAAATGTGCCTTATTACTGTGCAGTTGGACTTACTCAGCTTAGATAGATGTGAAATAAATAAATTACATAAAATCTTGACTTAAAAAAAAGCTATTTTTCTTGTAATTCATATTCAGAAAGGTCAGTGCTCATATAGCTATGTATTTTATGTATGCACAGAGTGGTATTTCTTTCTTTCTTTCTTTCTTTTTTTTTTTGTTCAATATGTTCTTGTGTTTTCCCTGGCAGGCTCTTGTTCTATGTCACTTTTTGGAAACAAATGCTGAACAATACAGCCTGGTTGATAAAAGTGTAATTGAAATTGGAGCTGGAACAGGGCTGGTCTCCATAGTAGCCACTTTACTTGGTAAGTGCTGGCTGTTGCTTTGCTGGGTTTGGAAACTTCATTAAGATGACTATTGATTACTATTGGAGCGTATAGTAAGTTGTTCAGTTCCTCTAAAATGTTGAAAACCGAGGAAGAAACACTGAATTCTTTGGGGTTTTCAGCCAACTTAGAAGCCAGTTCTGCTTTTACCTCCATAAAATTACTTGTCCTCACTTTAGAATGCCTTGTAGGAGGCTACAGTAGATGTGACTGCCATCCAGTATTAAACAGAGGACAGAAATTAGGTGCTGTGAGAACTAGGGTTCCTACCAGACCAGGAGGTCAGAGGCATATAGAAGAGGCTGGATTCAGACACAACCTCTGACAAGAGCAGTTTATCTTCTGACTATTAAATAACCCCTTCCTGGTATCCCAAGTCACTTTTGTTTTCAGTTTTGTAACCTGTTCTTTAAGAAACGTATCCTTGAGCTTGCTGTCCTGGCATTGTCCATTCTATCTTCTTTCCTGACAGCCCGTTCTTTGCTAACAGTAACTCGAATCACTAACCACTTGCAATGTAGCCAAGGACACAATTTAGTCTGCAGTATCTTTTATTACTGTATGAGAAGGAAAGAATCCAGGAGATTCTCAGATCCTGGCTGACTTTGCAGGGTTGATAGAAACCCCTCCCCCCATCTTTTGACTTGTATACCAAGCAGATTTGATATAAAGACCCCATAAAGGTGGATCCCCAGGATATCATTTTTGACTTTGCAGAACAAGATCATATTTTAATGTATTTTTTTGATGTGGAAACCTAATTTACATGTCTAGTGTAATGAAATGCCCAGGAGGCTTTTTACAGGTATATTGTACCTATATATGGGAGAGACCTGGGAATGCAATTGTTTGTCAAGTAGGTTTTGTGTACAGATTTCTTCTTCATTCTTGAAGTATAATCAAGGGTTAATCTGTGGTGGTTGTTTTTTGTCACAGGTGCACGTGTAACTGCCACGGACCTGCCTGAAGTACTAGGAAACCTTCAGTACAATATTCTCAAAAATACCAAAATGAAGTGTAAGCATCAGCCCCAGGTTAAAGAACTGTCCTGGGGAGTTGATTTAGAAAAAAACTTTCCCAAGTCTTTGTGTCAGTTTGACTACATCATGGCTGCTGATGTTGTGTACTACCATCCCTTCCTGAAGGAGCTGCTTCTTACCTTCCATCACTTGTGTCAGGACAACACTGTTATTCTCTGGGCCATGAGATTCAGGCTGGACAAAGAGAACCAATTTATGGGCAGATTTCAGGAATTGTTTGACCTGGAGGTAATTTCCAATTTTCCCAGTTTAAACATAACATTGTATAAGGCAATGAGAAAAGGCAAGAAGATGATGTGATGTTCCAACTTGAGTATTAGAAAGTGTGTGTGTGTGTGTGTGTGTGTGTGTGTATGTGTGTGTGGAGTTTGAGTTTTTTCACAGGTTCCATGTTAATGCTTGATGACATCTGTAGATTATGCAAGCAGCATGCCTTTTGGGATGTCAGGGCAGCAGATGGATGCCTCTGTCCCCTTCAGAAGAGAGTCACTTCCCACCACCGTTTTGCCTTCTCTTACACAGGGTGATTATGAGCCTCACAGCCTTGGGGCAAGTGGCTCCTCTTCCTCATGTTATAAACATTAACAAATGGTCTTGCGTAAGAATAGTGCAGCATACTACCAATTCCCTTTTAAAAAAATTCTCAAATCCTTGGAGCTTTGCCTTTCTCAAAATAGACCACTGTGGACCTCTAGCTCTGAGAGCACAACAATACTAACAATTGCCCTCAAGAAAATGTTTTGCATCACTGCCTCATTGTGGTAGCTTGAGACCAAAAAGACTTACTTTGCATGCTTAATTATGGGCAGATAATAGAAAAAAGTTGCTTAGCATCTTTGGAAAGGCCCACTGTGACTGTCTGTATCCCTGTGTTCACCTTTTTACAAAACTGTAATGCATTTTGTATGAAGTATGCCTTGTGAGGTATCGTTTGAAAATTCATAATTTACTGATCATTATTGTCCTGGTAAACTGTGTGTGACAACATTGTATGTGAGTTATAAGGCTCTACTGTATGAGATTTATTGAGACATATTCCAAGTCTGCAAAAGAAGGCACAAACCAATCCCTCAGAGACAAAAGGCAAATCGACGCCTCAGCCAGGTGTCAACAAAATCACATGAACTATCACCTGGATAAGCTGCCATTCTTTGATAGGAAAAAGGGTGTGAGTAAGAAATGTACATCTTGGCAAATAAAAAGCTGCAGGTTCCCATCTCCTAAGATCTTCTGTCTTCTGAACCTCAGCTGGAGATAATTTTCAAAATAAAAGAGAACCATAAGAAAGGGGAGCAGATGCCTCAAAATACTCCTCTCTTTCTCTCTACCCATGAAATCAACAACACCTGAAAGACAAGGAAAGTAACACTGAACTGGGGAGGGGAAAGAATCCTGGCCAACTGAAATCCAGACCGTAAGACTGCTCAAACATGTGGTGAGAGAGACCTCTGCTTTGAATTAATTTAGCTTGTTAAGTTAGATGTTAATTGCGTTTTACCTTTTATTTTCTTGTAACCAGTTCTGACTCTTATGCTTCATTACTTGTAATCACTTAAAATCTATCTTTCTGTAGTTAATAAACTTATTTTATCTAAACCAGTGTGCTTGGATTGAAGTGTTTGGAAAACTTCATTTGCGATGGCAAGATTTGTGCGTATCACTTTCTATTAATGAAATGATAGACTTTATATGAGCTTGTATTGTCCAGAAGGGTGCCAGGCAGTAATAAGACACACATTTCTGGGGCAAAGTCTGGGACTGGGAGTTTTCTGGTGTTACCCTGCAGTGTAATTCATGGGTGGCTGGCTATAGCATTTATACAATATAGCTGGGAGTGATTTATGTTCTGTGTGTGAGCAGACCAGGAGTTGTTGCTCTCACAGCAAAGCAGTGTAAAAAGCACCCTAGGTTGTAGAATTGAGGGGACACAGCTGTCTGTCAGTCAAGAATATACCCTGGGTAATTTCACTCCCACAAATAAATTGTTGTCCTGTTCTTTAATTGTAATAAATTTCTGTATGTGATGACCACACAGCTTTGCTCGGAATTGACCAGAGGATTTTGTTTTAGGGAGGTTTATATGGATTTTTTAGATCCTACCAAATTTCCTGAATCACTTAGTAAGTATGTATGAGATCTTCAGGTCAATTCCAGCCTAACTGTGCAGAAAGGCAAACCCCAGCTGCTTGTGCTGGGGTCCATGCATAGAGTTATCATCATTTAGAAAAGTTTTGTCAAGGACAATTGTTCAACTAACCTGGAGTCTTGGGGGTTGATAGGCCCTCACCTAACACAGCCTTTCTGTGTGCATTTGTGTGAACTGTAGTACTTGTTTGTTCTGATTTACAAAATGCCTTAATCAACAGAACTCCTGGGTCAAACTGGATGAAATGAAGCACCTTGTCTAAGACAAAACCTGTATTAGAATGTAAGGATCCCTTGTTCTCAGTCCTGCACTTGGTCCACTCAGCTATGCTGCTTCTCCGACAACTGAGCTTTTATTCTCCCAGTGGTTAGAGAGCACAGTGGCTCTTGACGGATGGGCCAGCTCAGCTGCAGGAGGCAGCAAGGAGGGACGTTGTGGTGATCCTAGAGTCCTCTGTGGCTCCCAGCACAGTCCAAATGGGAAGGAAAATGTAGAGAGAATGGCCCATGATGTCTTCTCCCCCTTTTTTAAAATCTGGTGGCAGATATGGTAAAAACCAGCACTGGATGTTTGGTGGGGATGAAAATTAATAATTGAGAATTTTTAGGAAAAAATCAATGACAAACTTTCCACCCTACTGGATCAGTTTGTTTCCAAAACTCTCTGCACAAGGAAAAAAGGGATACAATTTTTTTTTAAAGAAAGCAGAGTCCCTCTGCTATTTCTAGATTCCCTGAATCATAGGGGCTTGTGGCTGTGAACCTGGCACCCCAAAGATCATTTGTATATAGGAACATGTAATAGATATATGAATAGTGCTGGCTCTTAACATGTAATTAACAACAAGGCCCTGCACAAACCGAAAACTGGAACATTCTTTAAAAGGGGAAATGAACTCCAAAATATTTCAGGAAAATATGGCTGGTTGTTTGAAAGAAGAAAACTGAAACCTTCTGTGTTACAAAGAAGCAATAAAATGCAGCTGCTTTTCAGTGGCTGTTATACTGATTAGTTCTTCAGCTAAGGCCCAATTCTTCAGGCTGTCCCCATGCTGGACTCCCTTTGAAGTCAACAGGATTGGGTCCATATGGGGAACTGTTTATTAACATTACTCTGTTTTCTCACACCTCTGTTTTAGCAAAGTTATATGAAACTTCCTGGGAATGGTTTAGTGACTATCTGTTCTATTGTGCCTGTGACCTTTGGGCCTCTGTTATGACTAGCAGTGAATTAGCCATGATCAATGAGAGGTTGGAGCTCATATACTGCATTTGCATAGAGAAATTATTTCTTTTCTTCAGTAATAGTGCTCCCACAATAATGCCAAGTATGGTTATAGCTCCCAAGGCAAGTTCCCCACAAACTATATTTTTTAAAATTACTTACACAGAGTTTCTTTTTTGTTCCTCTTTAAAAAAGATAATCTAATGCCCATGCTAGTTGTTGGCTTGCTAAAGTATTGGTGTATTTGCATTGCATAGAACTCTACACTCTAGTCTAAAGATCTTTGATGTTAGCTACAACTGGTAGTTGTTTTGAAGGGGGAGAAAGCAATGAAGTCCAGCAAATTTTTTTAAATGAAAGTCCTAACTATGAGGAATTGCTACAGAGGTTGTAATGAGATTATATTGGCTGTGAGGAGAAGGCTATCCAAATTGGGAGGTACTGTATAGAACAGTCAGCTGGTTTTCCACATAATTTTACTTTGTTCTTTATGTGCTAATCTAACAATTATTTCACAAACAGCAATATCTGTAAAATAATGTGACAACATTTGTTAGAATTTCCTTGCCTCAAATGTCTTGAATCTTAAGCTTTAATGTGTTTCATCCGTTTAATTTTTGAATCTAGTATTTATACAAACATTACAGCAATGTTCTACCATTCATTGAGTATCATAGTGTCTAGAGAGTTCTATTTACATATTGAATATTTTTCTCTCTTATTGTCACACAGTGAGGTTTTCCATGTTCATTCAACTAGATCAGGCTTTTTTCTCTAACAGGTGCAAGAGGAAATGCTGGTGCTGAACATTTCAAAGAGTGCAACTGGGGTGCTGTTCTTTTGGCTGCATTTGCATTTGGCATCACCAATACAGTGGAGAGGTGTGGCCTAAAGAATGCAACTGTCAAGAAATTTTCAAATAATTGCACGTCCGTGCACGTGGTAGTTAGGTAGCAAATAGCTTGTACCAGATTTTGCACCTCTATTAGTCAGTATAAGGTTAACAGCAACTCACTCAAGTTGCATTGCATGGCCTCATCAACCTCTCTTTGTATTGTGGAGCAGCTGGAGACATACTGACTGTCACTAGGCTGAAGAATGTAAGTAAGTTGGAGGGGTCCTGATGTTTATAAACATTTGGGTTAACCTGAGGTACAGAAGAGTGAGGGGTCTTTAGCAGGAGGTGGCTTTTTACAGGTGCCATGGATAACACACGAGTCAGACGTAGACTTTCCTATCCTCAGATTTTTGTCCTGAGATGCAGGCTTTTGGGAGATTTCTCAGCCCCTCAGGAATTCCTCCAAAGTTATGGGAATCTTGGGCCGGTCATAGCCATCAGTGCTACAGTGGTAGCAACCATGGAGTGACCTCAGATAGTTTAGAAAAGATAGAGATGTGTCCAGGCAAGACATCACTGTTGCATTTTAATACTTTAAAGTCATAATGGATTTATCTTCACAATACCTCTGTGAGGTAGGGAAGCATTATTATCCCAATTTTACATATGAGCAGGTTGTAAGGCACAGATTAAGTGATTGCCCAAAGTCACACAGGAAGTCTGTGGCAGAGCGAGGAACTGAACCCAGATCTCCTGAGTGAGAATGTAGTATCTCAAATCACAAAAATGACAACTCTTGATTCCTTGTGCCCTACTATTGTTGGAGTTCACATACAGTAATGCAGGAGTTACATTACTGTTATGATTTAAGTTATTTTTCAAGTCTGGGGTGGTTGTTTTTTTTTAAAATGGGAGAGAAACAGGATAGATGTGTGAAGATCTAGGGAGGTCAGGAGGAAAGCCTCATGCATTTCAACTTCCCATTTTATACAAGTGTGCCCAGACTACAGCCTGAAAATAGGATCTATAGGCCACAGTGAAGTTTTATGACTTTATCTCAGAAGTCTTCAGAAGCTTACAAGTTTGACTACCTCCATTCTGCACCTCTGTGAGGAATTAAAAGGGGATATGGAGAGGCACATATGAGAAGTGTGTTCTACTTTTGATGGTCAAAGTCAACACCACTCTGGGGTTGCTGGCAGTGTGAACGTTTCAGAGACTTAAAGGAGTCACCTCCAGTGATAAGCTAGATCTCTCCAGTTGCATCGAGCAATTGTGTATTATTCTCAGGCAGGTTAATAATTACACTGATTTTTTCCAGAGGCAGCAAATCAGTATAGAAGTCTTTGTTATTACAGACTTCCAATCTGTTCTTTGTGCTCCTGACTATACTCATGTTCCTCCTAGGCCTCTGGGGAGCAAAAAGGGGTTCCATTAACTCAAGCTGCAGCTCACCTGTGAGGCAAATTGAATAGCCACAGGTGTCGCTCAGGAACATACCATGGCTGTCACATTCTCAGATGCTGTGGTGTGGCAGTGAAATAAGAGACCAGAGAGATTGCGTGAGGCTGGCTTCTGGATAAAGACAGAAAATCAGCTCATGGTAGCATTAGCGCTCTTGTTATGGTTAGCTGCTCTGGGCTGGTGAACAGATTTCTTGCTCAGAGGGAATACTCTCTATGCTTTGAAAACATGGCTCATGACTCCTTTTACTGATCTCAGCAATACCTCAAAAGGAAAATTATAATTCTCTTCACCAAGCCACCAGCTCTACCATTGACAGAGCTTTCAGAACTCTGACACTGAGATTCTGAGAGTATCTGCTGTCACCCTGGCGTATAAGTAGTAAAGGTTTATGTGCTCATTCTGGCTTATTGTATGCTGTACAATGATGCCTTGAGATATAGAGAGAACACACCCAAGGAGCTGAATATAGGTAGATGTAGAGGATCCTCATTTTCTAGCCAGTCCCTGTGAGACAGGCAGGGCAGAGAGGGGCTGATGGTTGGAAACCTCTGAGATAAATACTATACAGATAATTGCACTTTCCAATAGGTTCATGCTTCATCAGAAAAAAAGAGAGAACAGACAGAGGAAAAACAAGGAAATAATTGCAGACAGGTTAATTGTACGCTGTTTATATTTTTTTAAAATGCATGAGTCCATGCAAAACTCATTAGGAGAACACAACAGATAAAATCTTTTCGGTGTGGAAGGCTTCAGCAGCAATAATAAGGAAATTAAAGCTGAGTGGTTTAAAACAGCGCCATTTTATTTAGTAGCATGGTTGCATAAACAAATCTGCTAACCCCAGGTAGGCCAAACTGTGGCCACAAGCAACTGAATAACAGGGGCA